CCTCCAGCTGTGGTCCTCCCTCCCTCCTCCTCCAGCTGTGGTCCTCCCTCCCTCCTCCTCCAGCTGTGGTCCTCCCTCCCTCCCTCTCCAGCTGTGGTCCTCCCTCCCTCCCTCTCCAGCTGTGGTCCTCCCTCCCTCTTCCAGCAGCATCTGCGTGTTTCTGTGCCGCTGCAGCTGATTGGTTTGAAGCGGCTAACATTTAAAGTCTCACATCAGACATGATGGATCCAGAATGAAAGGCACCAGCAGCTCTGAACTGGGACAGAACCAGTGCTGCTCTGAGCGTGTTGTTGCTCTGTGAATAGCTCTGTAGCCGGGCGCCTCCGTTTGTCCATGTCGCCACGGGGACAGCAGGTAGCCGTAAGGCTCCAGCAGGTTGCTCTCCGTCGCTGTCAGCAGCAGGATGAAGCAAACCGTCTCTGCATCGCTCCTTCCTCGGGTGTCTGTTGTGCGGTCGCTTCTGCTCCGTGCGTTTGTCGTCTGGTTTTCAGCTGAGATGAATGAACGCCAGCCTCAGGCGTCTACTCGCTGACTGGCTGTGTTTGTGCTAAAGCAGGTTTGAAATGTTGGCCGGTCTGAAGTGGTTTCCTGTTTCCTTTTCTCATGTTTTTACTTCATTCATTCTGCCGGTTTCCTCATTCATCTGGATGATGTCGGTCCTGCTCTTTTCCTCTCAGCAGGCTGCTTGTTGCCCTCATGGCTGTAGCTGCTCTCTGTCACTGTGCTCCACTCCACCACAGCTTCACCACTGAACAGTAACCTGTGATGGAAACCAAACCATTGAATAAAACAAACTAGAGAATCTAGATATGTACATGTGATAGTTTATACCTGAAAGCAGAATAATTAAAAGAATAAACAGAAAGTCTGCTTAAAGGGAATCTAGATCTAATATACAGTGTGTGAGGAAAGTATTCAGACCCCTTTAAATGTTTCACTCTGTTTCATTGCAGCTAAAACAAAAAAAGTTCTTTTCATTTCTCATTAATCTACAATCAGCATCTCAACAGGAAAAATCGTCTGCTGGATCGAAGCATCAATTCAAAACGATTATTATTTACACTCCTAGTTCAGGCCCTGTGCTTTCGCTCACTTCCAGTGCAATTCTAAAGGTTTGAGCCTAACAGGAAGGAAGCCCAGCTGTCACTCAAATGACTGATTTGATCCTAAAAATTAACACATTGAACTGATTTTCAGTTTTTTTAGCCTGAAACACGCTGCAGAAATGATGGATGTTTTATTATCCCTTCCCTTGATGCCGTTCCTGTTTCTCTTCCCTGAAGTTCTGGGAGGAATAATCAGAACTTAGAGCTGCTGTAGATTCATTTCTTCGATGAACATCTGTTAGTGTGATCATGCTGAGCTGTGGTTTTATCATTAAAGGAATAGTACACCCAAAACACGATTAGCCTTCATTTTCTACTCACCCCCATGCTGAACAACACTCTGG